GGCGGGGGGGGGGGGTGGCTGAATGCTGAGTTATACAATTTGAGTCTTTGCTCCATGAGAAAAGAGGCTCCTTGAATACTTAGAAGAAGGCAGGGGTTGTATTATACAGAGCTAAGCCTTACTGCTCTATGAGGATGGGAGAGAAAGCAGTTGAGAGACTACTGACATCCTAAGAGGAAGGGGTGGAGACTTGGAACCAGAGTGTGGCAGGGAGAGGACAGAGATGGGGGCTGGGGGGGGGCCTGGAGTCACTACTGGTCATGGGGGCAATGGGAGAGCAAACAGACAAGAGGATGACTTTCTAACTTGGGTAGAATCATGGTGCCTCTGGGTGAGATGGGAAAGTCGAGAAGAGCAAACACAGGGGTTACAACAGTGGCCTCCGGTTGGGAAACACAGACATCCCCAGGGAGAGTAGCTGCAAACAGGAGTTCTGAACGTGTCTGCTGTGAGCGCTGGGCATCTGGACACGTCAGCACAGAACCGCTGCTTGAGTCACAGAGGAAGAGGAGGTTGAATGGGAACCAGGGAAATAAAGGATGTTGAAGAATTCTGACCTTCCCATATGAGGGAAGGAAACACCAGATGACCAATGAGTACATGGGAAAGACAAGGGCAGAGGGAGGGTTGTGGGAAAGTCCACGCATCAAAAGTGAAAGGTCTACACCCTTACGCCAGCACTCCTAATAACAGAGGTGGAAGCCGGCTTAGGACGCTGTAGTATCAGGTGAAGGAGGCGAGGACATGGTCCCTGCAAGCTGCTTGCTGCCTTCCAACCTTGAAAGGTGAATGAAACTGAGAGCAAGCAGAGGAAACCAGCAGAGTACAAAGTGCCAAGAGATCCACCTCCCCACAGCCAAGAAGCTGGGAGCAAATCAGATACATCAGAAATGCCACTGGACAGTTGCAGAGTGTATGTGTTTCTGAAGAGGGAAAAGGAGAGATCACATCCGTCCTTGAATTGTCGCTGGTGTCTAAACACCTACACTGAAAGTCTACTTAAAGAGCCCACGCATGGCTCGCGATGGTCATCTCCTGCGGAAATCAGGGACCACGTCCCTGCACATTCGGTCCTTGTCAATGGGGATGTGAAGTTCACAGTGAAAGGATAAGGTTCCTCAAAAAGCTACCATCCAAAGTGATACACAGCTCAGACCCACAGATTGAAATTTATACACTATGTTTTGCTAGTATTGACTGGAAAAATTTTATTTTCTCTAAATTTTGTTTCAGAGGGCAGCAGAAAGTAAAGATCATGAGATGCTAGTAATAACCTAAGTTGATGGTTTGAATTAAGCTCCCTGAACGGACATTTTGGTGCTTCTCCACAGACCTGATGGCCTCTGGGCCATCTTCATTTTTTTGTTCTCTGTATGTTTGTTTTTAACAAACCGGACGGGAAAGCTCCAGGAAACAAATGATGGGAGGACCATCATTCCTTCTCCACCTTCAAAGTGCAAAAATGCCGTTCCAGAACCCCGTCTTCTTTTCATTTTTAACAGGCCTCCCAATGTCAAAACCAGGATTTGCTGCCCATGTTCTAAGCTCTCTATAAAAATTCCTGTAGTGGCAACAATAAAAGAGCTAAACAACCCAGTGGAAATGAAGCCTGCAGGTTGTGATACTTTTTATGACATAAGAGGAATTTTCTGCCTCAGCTAAAAGGCTGAAATACCTAATTTTGGGGAATAACGGGAACACGTATCACATCTCTTTGAAACGGGAGGAAAACAGTATTAATAATAACAGAGACAAGAGAAACCAAGGAAGGCAACGCAAAGATGTCAACCCTCTTCGTAATTTAATGCACTTTGAGAGTGAATAGAACACCCGCACCCTATTTGTCCCGTAAGAAAATGATCGCCAGTGAATGTAACGTGACTTGGATTGTGAGATGCAGATGTACCAGGGTGTGAGCCACTGTGTGGGGCTACGATACGAGAGGTACTAAAACTGAATGTAATTCGTAGAATATGAATAAATGCTCGTAACTGTAGAGATGATAACCTAGAGCAGATAAATAACATAAGAGAAAACATCACAACGTCCTTTCCCAAGCACAAAACCCCATCATCACAAACGGCCCTGGCTCGCTGTCAGTGGTTTTTGAGAACTTGACATTCTTTCCAAATATGCACCCAAAATAATATTACACTAATCTCACGTATTTGATTTATCACTTCCTTTTCAACATCAGTTCCTTTAGAGGCACTTAAAGAACTATCTGACTTTAAAAGAAGTCAAATACTAAATTAAAATGATCATTTTAATTACTAAAGGTAGTCAATTAGCCATGTGTTGAAAATATTTCAAATCAATCTATTACATAAAAATAACTAACAAACTGGTATGAAGTGCATTATAAATTGTCATATAAACGGTCTATAATAAGAATCACCATCATCATAAAAATAATTTAATTGCCCCAAAGTGACTGGAGTGAATCTCTAACATTTTGTCCCCAGGACTGAGGAAAGAAAACACTAAATACAAAACTTGGAGATAATGAGAAGTAAGTGCCATTAAGCTTGTTGTCACTTTAAAAGGTCAGTGTCCAGGAGGGGCCAAAAATCAAAACAAAACTCCCCCCAAATTCAAGAAAGATCAGCAGACTGAATGAATTTTAACTTTAACTGATGAGGCAAATGCATAATGTTGACCAACAGCATCAGGTAAACAATATTCAACAGATTGTTTTTTTTGAATGTTTTAATACGTAAGGTCTGGGAAAATGGACAATCAATTTTCTGACCTGCTTCCTAATGTTAACTAATTTTCATTACTCCCAATGAAAGCACTCCGGAGAATAAGAAAAAGAGCTGACATGAGCTGATTTACATTTCTCTGCTATAAAACCAGAAGTTTATAACCAAAGAAAAAGCAAGACTGTCAAAAATGTTAAATATACACTAGACATTGCTCATCATTCTTTTTAAGAATTGGGAATTTGTAAGGTATGTTGAATTAAGCAACAAAGATGTCAAGAGAGATGAAACTGAACCTCAGGCACATGTTAATGGCTTAGCTACTTTCTCCGTCTATAAAAATCAGGACACTCTTACTGCTCTCTATGTTAGGTAATTAACAGCTAAAAGCACTTTGGAAGTACAAACTGCTAAGTAAATTATGACTGCCAAAGAATTTTAACCGTCACGTGCTAAATAATAGTGATGAAACACGGGCCTTGAACTTTACCACTTTTGTTTTCAAATTAATCATGTAAACAAGACTCTAATCTCTCATAATATTAGGCTTAGCACAGTATTAGGTAGCAAGTTCAATTTAGGGATTCAAAATCACCAAAGGGATCTTGTTTTTCCAAGAGCAGCTGATTCAACTTTATATGCAGTAATAAAAGTAAGTTCATGTCCTACTCCAGTAGCTACAGAAGTATCACCATGACACGTGTGTCCACATCTTGGCTAATTCCAACTCGAGGTCATTCTACTCGAAAATCTACTAAGCTAGCAACTTTTTGAGGACTTCCTTTTATTTCAGATTGATTTTGAAATCCTAAACCATAGTTATGTTTTAAACTATCTTCTGGGAATTAACAACACACTGGACTTTCAGGTAAAATCACTGTTCTCTGCCCCTCCCAATCTCTTAGACTATAATATTTATTAGATGGTAGGCCTATCAAAGAACCTTCAGTGCTTTTTTAGACTTGTTTACTGACGAAGGCGGGTAAAGATACTGGCACCAATTCTATGACCTTCCAAACTTTCTATTCCAATGGTGGTTGACCATGTCATAAAATTTAAAATCTGGATTAGGAAAGCTAACGTCACTTCATTAGTCATCTACAGCATCTTATTCTTTTTCCATATTCATTTGAAATAACTACCAAGTGCTGTGAAACTGAAAAACAATCAAACAACTAACAAACAAAGACCCAAAGAATTTTAAGTCACAGAAAGATGACACAACCTTAGGGAGCAAATTCATTTTGATTCTTCCTCACTGAAAATATAACATCTGAAAAAGACAGTCTCCTATCTAAGCCCACAATCTGATCAAGGTTCTGCTTACAAAGTGCATGGTTCTGTGAATTATCTGGACGACTAGAAATAAAATGCAGCTATGAAGAACAGTTTAAACATCATTAAACAAACAAGTCTAAATTCTGTTTATTATATATTTGGGGAGAAAGTCATGTCCAGTTACTACTTTAAGGAAAAATTAAACATCTACGAAAGAAACCAAAGTAAAGGGTATGGTTGACAGTAAAATGCAAACATATAATTTTATCCTCTTAATAACCAAGACCTCAAATACCAAGTTTTAGTGACTCATATTAATTTAATTGTGACATCAGCTTTTATAATCAGAGATGTACAAAGACCACTGTGCTCCAAACATAATTATTGCACCAGAGTCTCATTTCATGAAATTATTAGTTAAGATGAGAGCCTCTGAACAAATTCATATTTGATTAGTTTCACTTATTTAAGAACGCTGAATAATTTAAGACAGTTGAAATAAAAGGAAAGCAAAAGGGGCACTTCTGAGCAGTGCTGACGTCATCTGCACCCTGCCCTCTCCAGGTGGACCCTGAATTCAGAATGATTATGAACTGTGAGTACCTTCCAGGTGAAGCCACATCAGCCTCCCCTTCACAGCAATGACAGAGGCCACGCAGAGTTCTCCCGGATTCCTGGGGTTCACAGCTTCAAGTTTCATGTTCTGTGTGAAGCCCCGGCTGAATGACGACTGAAAGAAAAACAGAACTGACACTGAGCCAGCAGATACCACAGCCAGATAACGCGCAGCAAGAGAGTGGCCAGCTGGCACGACAGAAATGTATACACGCGCAACACACACGCGCACGTGCACGCACACAGATTTATTGATAAGACAGACAGGCGAGTGCACCTGCTTAGTCTTTCCCCACCATCCACGAGGAAAGAACCACACACCCTTTGCTTGTTTCCCAGAAATGAGAACTACGCTGGGCACACGGCAGGTGCCTAACAATATCTGCTGAATGAGCACGAGGGTGAGTCCACTCTGGCTTCCCAGTTCCATGTGCGTCCTTCCAACCTCAGAATCACTGTGGTACCGATCGCTCCTCCCACGTCCCTGTGCTTGTCACTCAGGTCCTTCCGGGCGTATCTGAGGGTGAAAGGAGACGGCGACCTCCACCTGGGATCATCTTCTTCAGCAGGATGTCTGTCCTCTAGCTTTTCTTTTGGTGCAAGGTCCGCTGGTGATGAATTCCCAATTTTCTTTTATCTGAAATGGTCTCTATTTTCCCTTTGTTCTCTGTTTATTTTTATTTACTTTTAAAATTCATTTTTAAAAATTCACAGAGAGAAATTCACTTTTTGGTGTGCTGTTCTAGGAAAGCAGGGCTGTTAGATGAATGCACACAATCACGTAGCCATAACCACCATCAAGACACAGAGCGTGCTATCACCCCCAAAATGCCCTTGCATCGGCCCTTCGGTGATCAATCCCTCCTAGACCCCCAACTCCTGGAACACTGATCCGCTTTCTGTTCCTGTAATTCCACTTTTTCTATAATACCATCTAAGTGGAATCCTATCCTACTTAGCCTTGTCAGTTTGGCTTTTTTCACTAAGCTAAGTGCATCTGAGAGTCAGTCAGGCTATCACACGGATGGGTACCTCATTCTACTTTACTGAGTGGTTTCTATAAATGCACCATGATTCATCTATCCATTTACCAGCTGAAGGACAGCTGAGTTGTTTCCAGGTTTTGGTAGTTGTGAATAAAGCCACTATGGACATTCAAAGACAAGTTTTTGTGTGAGCATAAGTACATTAATCTGCTCAGGCTGCCACAGCCAATACCATGGGCCGGGCAACTTAAACAACAGAAATTTATTGTCTCATGGTTCTGGAGGCTGCAAATCCGAGATCAGGCTGTGAGCAGGGTTAATTTCTTCTGAGGCCTCTCTCCTTGGCTTGAAGACGGCCATCTTCTCCCTGTGTCTTTACATGGTCTTTCCTCCATGTATGTGGCCTATGTCCTAATCTCCTTTTCTTATAGGGACACCAGTCATATTGGAGAAAGGCCTACCCATGTGACCTCATTTTACCTTAATTACTTTTCTAAACACTCTAAGTACAGTCACATTTTGAGATACTGAGAATTAGGGCCGTAACACATTAATTTTGGGGGAACAAAATTCAGCCTCTAATACTAAGTTCTCATTTCTCTAGAAACGGAAGGATTGCTGGACCACATGGTAAATGCACATTTCTAAGAAACTGCCAAATTATTTTCCAATATGCCATTTTGCACTCCCACCAACAGTGTACAGAGTTTCAGTTGCTAAACATCCTCACCAGCACGTGGTATTGCCAGTTTTTCAAATTTTAGCCTTTCTAATAGGTAGGTCTAGTGGTATCTCATTGTGCTTTTTTTTTTTTTTTGCGGTACGCGGGCCTCTCACTGTTGTGGCCTCTCCCGTTGCGGAGCACAGGCTCCGGACACGCAGGCTCAGTGGCCATGGCTCGCGGGCCCAGCCGCTCCGCGGCACGTGGGAGCTTCCCGGACCGGGGCATGAACCCGTGTCCCCTGCATCGGCTGGCGGACTCTCAACCACTGCGCCACCAGGGAAGCCCTCACTGTGCTTTTAACTTGCATTTTCTCTGTAACCAATGAGGTTCAGCACTTTTTCACGTGTCTGTCACTTGTACAATCTTCTTGGATGAAATGTCTTTTTATCTTCATTCCGCAAGTATATTTTCACTGGATATAGAAATACAGTTTTCTTCTTTTAGCATTCTAAAGACATTAATTCACCATCTTTTAGTCTCCATTGTTTCTGATGAGACTTTTGTTGTTATTTAAATTGCTGTTCCTGTATAAGGAATGTATCATTTTTCTCTTGATGCTTTGAAGATTTTCCTCTTTATGTTTGGTTATCAGCAATTTGACTAGGTTGTGCTTCTTTGTTATTTGTGTTGCTTATTCACTGAGCTTCCTGAACCCATTAATTTAGATCTTTCAGCTACTCTGGTAAATTTGGAGTCATTGTTTCTTCATCTATTTTTTTCTTCCACAATCTCTGTGGCCACATCTTCTGAGTCACCAAGTACACATGATATGGTTGCTCAGATCCCTGGGATTCTATTCATCTTTTCCTCCCTTCCTTCCAATCATTTTTTTCCTCTCTGTTCTTCAGATAGTATAATTTCTGTTTTCAAGGTCATGAACTCTTTGCTCTGTCATCTCTATTCTGCTATTAAGCCCTTCCAATGAATTTGCTTATCTTGGATATTGTATCTTTTGGTTCTAAAATTTCTCTTTTTTATCCTCTCTACTTCTGTTCTGGCACTTCCTATCTTTTTATTCATTACAAGAATATTTTCCTTTACATCAATGGTTTGAAAATTTAGAGTGTATCCGAATTATCTAGAGAGCTCTTTAAAAACATAGCCTGCTAAGTCTCACCCCAAAGTTTGTGATTCAGTTGATCTGAGGTGAGGTCTGCAAATCTGTATTTCCAACAAGTTCCCAGGAGATCTGAAGCTGCTGGTGCAAAGACTACACTTTGAGAACCACCGCTTTACACCACGAAGCTTAGTTGTAATAGGGGCTTTAAAATACTTGTCTGCTAATTTCAACATCTGGGTCATGTTGGATTTGGTCTGTGTTGATTTATCTTTTCTAATGAGAATGAGTCTGATTTTCCTATTTCTTCTTGCATTGAGCAACTCTGGATTGAAACCTGGATGTTTTAAATATATATCACAGAAACTCTGGATTGTGTTATCTTCCTCCCAAGAGTGTTGATTTTTCTGTTTTAGCAAGAATTAACTTGGCTGGACTCAAACTACACACTCTGTCTCTTGAGAAGCAGCTCAAATCTCAGTTCAGTTCTTTCATCCTTAGCAAGGTTTCTTGGAGTTTTCCTGGCACATACATGGTTCAGGGATCAGTTAAAGATTTAGGCAGAGTTTATACACTGGATCTGTGGTCTCCCCTCCTGCCTCTCCCCTGTCTGGGTCTTCCCTCACTTTCCAGTAGCTGTGGTTGCCCAAATTCTGTTAACTGGTTCATCAGGCCAGAAAGACCTTGAATTTTATATCACTGTTTTCATTATCCCCTATGTTGTCAACTGTGGCTGACCTTAAGCCAAAAGTCTGTAAAAAATGGGTGACCACTCCTGCTACTACTTTCTTCCAAGCATCTGTTCCCCTCTAAAATCCTTCTGCTTTTGTTCATTTTCCATGTCTCTCAGGTACTAGTTTTGGTATTCTGCCCAGAATTTATAGTTGCTATCTGCAGGGGGATCAATTCAGTACGAGCTTACTCAGCCAATACTAGAAGCAAAACTCCCTCCTAACACTTTAAAAATAATTATGAAATTTTCCAAAATTACCCACTACTATAAATTTTTTTATCAGACATTGCAATACTATATAAATGTATCTACTTTGAAATACATAAACTGAGATAAACAGGTTCCTGTAAGTAAGAGAGATTACATCTTTATATGACTCATGGAAAGAAACCAAGGTAATTCACATTTCCATGTCTTTTTATAGAAGTTAAGTTGAAAATGCAATTATATTTTTATGTTACCAGAACAAAATTATCCAATGTATGTTGAGAAACCAATACGCTCCTTTCCTTTATGTTTCTTCAGAAATCAAAATCAAAGGAATTCTAGGTTGGCTGTTTTTCTGCAAGTCGTCTGGCCTCATGCATGCATATTAGGTATTGAGTTTCTTTTTGATGACATGACTCGATACACTGCCTGAAAAGACTCTAAGTAAGTTAAAATGCATTTTATCCTACTTAATAAGGGAAAGCTACAACTGTGTAACCTATTTTCATTTCAACTCACTGCCTGAGGGTAATTTATAAAGGATCAATAGCAAAACTGTTACCTTTGAGTTTATTTTACTAAGCATTTGCCTGTGTCAATCCATCTCAGAACAGCCTCGGATTGTTAAACATCCCCAGGGTAACGTCTTCCATGCATCCACTTCCACACTACCCTTCCTCTGGTACACACGAGATGTGTGATTAAAAAATGATTCATGATAAGCATTCCATTAAAGAGCACTTGTAGCCTGTTAACATCATCCAGCAAAGTACCAGTAATGCAATGCACGTGCCACCAGGCAGATAAGAACCCTGTCGATTAAATAAACGGACAGCAAGAAACAAAGGGGGCATCTTTGTAACAAATGCATTCCTAACGAATACGCCAGCATTTTCATTAATACAGATTTCATCTTGGTAGCTGAATCCTGAAAGCTCAGAGGCCACCTGGGGATATGGCTCCTGGCTCCACTATAAAGATCCATTTGGACAATGGCTGGCTGATGGGAGCAGAAGACAAATAAAAAGACACCTTGGGGGAACCACGTTGTCACAGAAGAAATAACTCCCTAAATCCAGAACAAGGGGGAGATGTGAAGAGTTTCTTCCCAAGGCTAAAGAGTTAGGGAAGGACGATCTCCTGTCTGGAAGCAAGCACAACCTCAAAGGGGTTTGAGGATGCGGTTCCACAATCACAAATAAAAGGCAATTAGCAGATTCCATGACAAGTGATGTCAACACAGTTAGAAGGGTAGTAAGACTCCACTGGACTTAATATGCCTTAAGAGCTAACCAGCTGCTGTTCCCATGGTGGCAGGTCGCACAGCTATCTCCACACCACCTCACACCCTTCATACAGCTCTTTCAACGCTTCAGAAAAGCTACCTTTGTGAAAGGCAATGTCATCCAGTAGAAGTTCATTCATGTAAGGAGCCCTGATTTCCAACCCTGCCACTGACGTGTTTACGTATTTATGAGCACAAGCTGACCTCGTCATCAACCTACTTAATTTTCCAAAATCTGATTATGATTTATGCTCAGTGTTGAGCTTCTTTCTATTAAGCCAGCTCTTCCCATCAGAAAGCGCTGCCAACTGAATCCCTGGAGTAAAAATTATCGGTGGGGCAGCAATGAATCAGCAGCTCTAGGCGTACGTGCCCAGAAAACAATTCTTTGGTGTGGGAGCACATTGCACTGTAGTATCTGGAGTCTCCAACCGGAGGACTGCATCTTTCTTCTTGGCATAAAAAAATTAACTCTCATAACTAAATGCATGTTAAACATACGAGGCTATACATCTCTGCCTCACTCTCAAAACGAACATGATACTTCACATCCCTTTTTAGTTCCTACGGTTGATAAAGTTTACATGAATAATTTGTAAACTATTTTATACAACAAACTCCTATAAATAAGCAAGTACACACATGTTTGAACACACACACACACGCACGCACGCACACACGGAGTTATTTTATGTGTCTCTGTGCCAATAAGCTGTATTTGAAGAGGGAGGTGGCTTAAAGTAAGCACAGCAGAAAACTGTTGGGTTAGCATCTTATTAGTTTAATCCAATAAAAAATTTAGGAACATATTTTAAGAATATACCTCAGGAGCAGAGAATCTCCCATTCAATGAACTTATCAATATCACACTCCATAGCAAGTGCACAGCTAATGGTGGCCCTGGTGGCTTGGCTGTCCACCAAACTCTGTCCTCCTCCTGCCAGTGTACAGGCTCAAGGTGGGGGGACAGCCCAGCCAGGGCACACTGCCTGGTCTCAGTCATGGCGTGGTGTAGCCGAGTGACTAGTTCTCAATGACAGAAGGTGACAGAAGTAAGATGTAATATGTGTGTTGATATCAAGCTACAGTGTCTAGAAATAGGGTTATCTTCTCCTGGTTCTCTTTTCCTATCTGCTCACTAGATTCAGATGACGAAGCCGAGTACAGACCTAGACCAAGGCTCAGTGGAAGGAGAACCACCTGGTAATCAGGAACAACCTGGACCGTCCACAGGTGAGAGAGAAACTTACGACATGTTTAGTAGTCAACCTGTCACTACAGCCCAGCGTCTCCCTGACTGACACAAAAACGGAAAGGAGGACTTTTCAAAACTGACAAAAAGGCTTAGGATCCCATGGTACAGGGTAACACTCTAACCTCATCTTGTTCAATAAATAAAAAGCAACTTACACAACTCAAGGTGGACAACATTTATGAGTAAAGGCGTAGCAAGAACCTGGCTTCTTACGTTTCTGAAGCAGAAGGGAGGTGCTTCTTCTGTCCCATGCTGCTTGTGATAATCTGCCCAGTCGAAGTCCTGGCCAGAGTAACCTGTGTGTGTGAGAAAATGCAGATAAAACACATTAACCAAGCCGCATCTCAGACCAATGAACAGCACCAGGGTGTGTCAGGAATTTAAAGTAATAAGGGCGGCAAGTATAGGCCCCCTCCCCAAAAGGTGAAGCCCTTTCTCATGTGTGACAACATATTGGATTTTATGAGGATTCAATGAAATATTGCAGACAGTGTAAAGTACTAAATATAGGTAGGGTGTACCATCATTATCATCGGTGCTTGAAACCAGGTGAAGAGGCGGGGAATTTACCCCCATCAGTGCATGCCGGGGCGTAGAGATGAGACAGAGCATCCCACAGAGCACACCTGCACAAGGCATTTGGCAGAAATACACAACACGTGCCTTCGTATCAAATCTGAGTTCAGGTGAACTTACATCTCGACATTTTCGTGGAAACCGTGAGATTTTATTGGAAAACAACACTAGAGGAGAATACTTTTTAAAGAGTAACTGAAGGTAAGACAAATGGCAAAAAAGGAGTTGAGATTCTAGCGGGAAATCCTCCAAAGACATGGAAGTCAGGGAGGAATAAACCTTGCCTTAGAATTGAATCACGGAGGAGGATGGAAAATGAGAACTGGGGAAGGTGCGCCTCTCCGGATGAAGTTTTGGGGGCACATTTGAGATATTGGGGGAGTTTGAGAACCAACTATTCATATGTACTAACTTTAACATGGTTTTTTTCTTTCTTTCTTTATTCATTTCATTTGGGGTTGGGGGAAGAGGTACATAATTGTACAATATATATCGATCTATCGTGACCGCCAAGACAAGACATGGGAGAAGTTTATAACATAAAACAAGGGCTTCCCTGGTGGCGCAGTGGTTGAGAGCCCGCCTGCCGATGCAGGGGACACGGGTTCATGCCCCGGTCCGGGAAGACCCCACATGCCGTGGAGCGGCTGGGCCCGTGGACCATGGACCATGGCCGCTGGGCTTGCGCGTCTGGAGCCTGTGCTCCGCAACGGGAGAAGCCACAACAGTGAGAGGCCCGTGTACCGCAAAAAAAACATAAAACAAGAAAGGAGTTGAGTGTATGGCTGAACCTAGGTAGGAAAATACCTCTTAATGTGTCATTTGCATTTCCTGTGAACAAAGGAAGGGAATGGAACCAAAAAATATGGCACCAATCAGGATTACCTGAAACTGTGCAAAATGCCCCTATAATCATCATTTAACAGTTCTCTCTTCACTGGTTTAAGTATATGTAAAATAAATCTATAAGGGACTTCTTAAGTATATTTTTAAGCCAAGCCCCTGATTTCTTTGCCCTGTATCATCATAAATTCTACACCTGCAAATTCACTTAACATGGGGAATTCTGTTACTAAATCCGCACTTGCAGCAAGACTATAGAAATTCCATATTGAAGAAATTCAAGATACTGTTTGCTTCCTACCTCCACCTGTACAAAATAGTATGCTTTTCATTAAGTAAGCTCAATTTACTCAATTCTTTAAAAGATGGGTGTGGAGGTTAACCAAGAAGGCAGTTGTCTTCCTGGCCCAGGGACTGACCCTCCCCCCTCCCCCGTCCCCCCTCCCCTGCCGACCATCAGTGACAGAGCACACCCCCCCCCAACTTGCTCCTGAGACGTGTCCCTGTAAAGAGTGACAGCTCCTCACTACTTTCCAATGAGGAGATAAGACGTCTCAGAGTCCTGATATGCTGTGTAATCTTTCTAGCTGGTTTTGAAGAGGTTCTGCACATTCTTCCACATTCCCTTCCCCCCAGACCTTCTGTCCAGGGTTGTCCCTCCAGCCAGAGGGCTCTGGCACCAGAGGTCTCTGGAAGCAACCAAACCAACTTTCTCCTGAACATTTGCAAACAAAGCAAATGTGCCTTAATCAAGGCACTGCGAGTTTCTTACACAATTAATGTAATCGTCCACTTTGAGTACTTTCTCTGTAACTGTTTTGGAGCAAATCCTTGCGTTAATATATATGAATAGAAGAATTCACCGAAAGACACCTCAAACTGGTGAGAAGTCACCTCACTGTATGAAAATACTGAACCAGAAAGGAGAACTAGATGAAGGACCCAGTTCTACCAGGACTTGGATGAACCAAGGTCGAAATAAATTAAGTCTTCTGTACCTGGCTTTCCCTATCTACTAATCCGCAAAAGAAAGAAAAGAGCTTCAAACTCTCCTCAAGCTGCTGCATTTCATGATTCAGAGCCACTACTACTAATTACCATTGCTATTTAGGATTATTTCCCTTCCCTCTGCGGTTAATTCCCTTCTCTTCTCCTAGGGGAAAAGTGTGACAGGTTGGATGAAGAGAGGGTATATAACAAGACATTCCCTAGAAGAGCTCTCAAGTGAACAGCTGGAAACAAGCTGAATCCTGCAACAGAAGGACCCTGGTTGTTTAGGCCCACGGCTAGCTGGCTTTGTTAAGGTCAAGACCTCGTTCTGTTACATATCTCTTCCCTGGACCTCTGCTACTTCCTGAGTTAGTTTGTGAGCAAAGGAAAATCTTATCAAGATCATGTGGGAAAAACCCATACAAATGAACAGCAAACCATTTTCTGACATAACATCAGATTTAGGTATTCTGTATGGTCAGTATCCGTTCAGATAAAACTTTTCAACTTAGGGGTTGCCTCTACACCCTATACAGATAGACATTTAGCTGGATTTTCTATCACGTTCATAACCACCAACTTCCAGTGGATTTTCAACCCACTCCATAAATGCCAGGCTTACGGTTTCTTGGACCTATATTCAATCTTTCTACATCCAGTCTCCAAGATTCTCTATGGGGAGCCACTTTTAATCTAATAATTTCAGGATATATCCAACTCTTGCTGGGTACCTAAGCAACAAGCCATTATTCTGTCCCCAGAACTCTCTCCTTTCCCTGAATATTTGAACAGCTTCAACTCCTCTGCCTCCTCCTTCTCTTAGGGACCTTTATTTGCTTCATCACTTAAAATTCCTCTCCCTCAGTCTGATAATGAGCTCGCTTTGTAAAGGCATTTTTGTGACAGCTCAGAAAATAACTGTTACATAAAAACAAATTGCTGTGGCTCCTATAATAGAGACAACAGGGGTCAATTATGCTCATTAATCAACAAAGACAGAACAAGAAGTACTAAGGCTTAACCACAGCCAGGAAAGCATGTTTTAAACCCAGGAGGGAGGAAAACACCAGAGGGGAAAAGAAAATAAAAGGAAATCAAAACCCCCTGGGCTATTAAAATTTGCAACAAGCTGCCATCAGACTGTTGAACTTCCACCACTAGGGTTATTTAAGCTTTAATTAATGTTTATTCTGCATGAAGTTCCAGCTATTACAGCTCCAAAAGGAAACAGGTCAATGACCCATTTTTCCTTATGATACAAATTAATTGACATAAAACAGCTCCACTTGCAAGCATTACTATTGGCAGTGCAATTGGACAATTCTTCTGGAAAACAATTTGGCAGGAAAAACGTCCATGAACTTTGACACAGCAATGGCACTTCTGGAAATGTAACCCATAAAAACAACCCCCAAAACTGATAAAATGTGATACATTAAGATACAATGGCATTATTACTAATAATTCTGATTTAAAAAAAATCTGTATATCCAAAAGTAGAAAACAATGTGAAACTTAGCCAAGTCCATGGAAAGTCATGCAGGCATGAAAATTGCACCTAGTTTACTAAAAAAAGTCATGAAAAAATGATTACTGTAAGTTTAGATGAAAAGACTGCTACAAGCATACACAGAATTATCAAACTGACATTAAAATATGCAAAAGAAAAGACCTGAAGAAATGTAAGAAAAACTTACAAGGAAATATCAAAATAATTATCTGTGTGGTGGGACTCCTGGATACCTTTTTCTTCTACCTCCTTGTATTTTCCAAGTTTTCACTAATGTTCATGAATTATTTCAATAATACAAAAATTTTGAAAGCAAAGCATCTTCACTCTATCTTAAAAGATAATCAAAGCACCAGTCAACCAATCCAGGAATACAGCATGACGACCTCCCCTCAGCCGTCCTCCTGCTTCTCCTTTGCTAACAGAATCCTGACTGTATCCAGTTCCTAGAGGAAGTTAGGTCTCTCCTCAGCACCAGGAAGTGAATCATGACAACCCTGAGGCAATCATGGCGGTCTCACGCCCCTTGCCAGTGACTTGGGATGGAGGGAAGGGCAGGGCTTTAAAAAAGATTTCTCTCTCTCTCCAAAAAAAAAGAGACCACTGGAGTAAAAGGTCCTATTCTGTGCTAGGTGGATATGAAAAAAAAGTACAATCTTAATAAAAAATAAAAATAGCAAAAGAATATCTGTTTGACATCTACCTGAATGACAAAATGAAAAACAATGATACAAATCCACCACTGTGAAGGCTGTCTAAAATAATTACATAGAAATACAAAGTTACATATTCAAGGAAACAGAAATCTCAAAGAATATACACCAAAAGTTATTTTTTCAGGATAGGAAACTTTTCTACTTTTTATCAGAATTTTAAAGAATGCACACATATTAAATCTGCAGTTTAAAAAAAGTACTTAGAAATATACCCTGAAGTCTTATAAAGTGGTAACACCTTCTAAAGCAAGGAAATGCATCCATTTCGTAACAATTCACTGTAAGTCTCCAGCTTGCTGGACTCTGCTTAGTTACTGATAAGAGGAGGATGAAACAGGCATGTGCTCTGCTTTCACCTGCTCCGGCAGCTCAGAGAGTGACAGACACGCGGCATGGGAAGAGTGACACGGTGGGTAAAGGCAAGGATGGAGGGAGACGTGGAGAATGAGGAAGGAAAGGCCTGAAGAAAGCCACCCCTCACGGTGGAAGATCACAGAGCTCCAGGGAGATCTTCCGCAACTCAGAGAACGTTCACATCCTTGAGGTGCTGGAGCACCTAGGGTTCATAGGAAGCTTCTTTAGCTTCTAGCTCAACTTCTCTTTGAAAGGAAATATGACACAATCATCTTCAAAGATCAGCAAACAGCAGGGCCGAGATACA